ATAAAAAATTATATTAATAAAATAAATAATAAATGGGACATTCAAACTAATGCCATCAAATTATTTAAATTACACATCGTGATGATTATCACATAAATTTTAATTATTTGGTATATTTTTTTTTCTAATCGATTAACTATAACATAAGGACTGCAACTTCAAAATGTAACATTTGATTTATCTTGCTAAATATTTATACATACATGGCAGTGAATACGTTAATATATCATAGATAATGAATATTTTCCAACATTTTCATTTTAATATATGTCTTTAATCTAAATATCACTTTTAAAATCTTTAACTATACTGCTTTCATTCTACGTTTATTAATACTAAATCTATTATTAAAATTGCCATTTTTTAATGTTTAAATTGAATTATACTTCTTTTCCAATATCAAGATTTTCTGTTTTTCTTTTCGAGAAGGCCCTTTCCTATCAAATGATTTTCAAAAAAACTATGATAAAAAATTTAGAAATGCTGTAAGAATACATGTCTGTAAGTATACATATCAATAGCCATTTTTTCATGCAATGCAAACAGAAAATAGCAAAAGAAAAAACAGGCATATATTTACATAACATTAATTATATAATAATAAGTCTGTGTAACATTTAGTATTTTCGGTTATCCTACAAATAATCTGTTATTCTTATCTTAAACAATCCTTTAGACTAATATTACATTCATCCGTTTTTTATCGTATGACAAATTTATCGAGCCTGTCGATTGGCCACAAAACAAAGAAGTTCTCGGATCTTTTTGTTTTACAGCCAATTAACATGCTTGAAAAATTTGTCGTACGACAAATATAATATCAGCTTTATACTTAAGGAACTCCTAAAAAAAAATATACAATATACAAATACACAATTTAAAATGAAACATCTCTAAAGAAATATATGATACAAATATTCCAGCCATTTTATAAAAAAATTCGACTTCTATCTAACAATTTGTTATTTATATGGCTTTACAATCTGTGCCAAATTACAATTTATTCATCATATCATTATCATTATCACAAATAGCAAGTCAAATTGAGCTTTTGTTAACGAAACTGAAATGTAAATTACATAGCATATAATTTAATATATTTGCAATATTTTTTCTACATATCTGTCAACATATTTTGCATACCAATGCAATTGTATTTATGCATGTGTGTATCAGAAAATATTTAATAATTGATAAATTTATCTAATTCAATTATATCTACGTTTTTCTTAGATTGCTAATAACATAAATATTTGATATAAATCCAATTTTTTAACGACGAACGATATTTGATATAAATCCAATTTTTTAACGACGAACGATAAATATACAACTTAACATGCATGAACTTATCGTAAAAAAATTTATAATTATTTACATCTTGGATGTATTGTAATTTCATTACTGGCTTAAGAATTATTGTAAGAAAAAGTTATCTTCAATTTGAATTAATAATATATTTAACATATATCGACAAAATTTAATAAATAAATATTGTATGTATGAATATACACGCTTTCTCTCTCTCACACATACACAAAATGTGTGTGTGTGTGTGCGCGCGCGCGCGCGCGCGCGTGTGTGGGCGCGCGCGCGCGATCTTTAGAGCTGGATAAATTCAGCATCAGCTATTTTAACGCTGTCTTTAATATTATTATTATTATTATTATT